TACCTGTAATTTCAACACTCGAGAGACTGAGGCAAGAGACCAAAGTGAGTTCAAGGCTGTTGTGGGTTTCAGAATAAACCTTGTTTCTTAACAAAAGGTTAAAATTAAGATTACTTTTTTTAATTAGGTTTTTTTGTTTGAAACAGGGTCTCTACATAGTCTTTGCTGTCCTAGAACTCACTGTTGTAGATCAGACTGGCCTCACAGAGATCTGCTTTCTCTAGAGAGCTGGGCTTCAAGACGTGCCACCACAGGCATTAAAGTTAAACATTTTAAAATGTGAGTTTATTGAATAGAAACTGAGTTCCTATTAAAAGTCTTCTGACACATTAAAAAAAAGTGCTGACAGAAAAAATTGGTATTGTTGGGGAGATGGGAGCTGTCATGGATGAGAATGAGGAGAGGCTGGAGGAGACAATGGTTACTGTACACAGGAGGCACTCAGTCTAAATAGATGCTCACTAAACACTAGCCATCAGGACATCAGATTTAGTTTTAAACATGATCATTTGATATGAATATGTGAATGCCCTTAACAGGTGCATACTATACCTGTAGTGCACTGTCACATATATAAATTCCAGGAAAACCTATGTATGCTGCATGCACCATAGTGTTATTCCCCTTGAGCTGGGACAAGGTGACATACACCAATGAGTTCAAGGCCAACCTAAGGTACTTTCTAAGTTGGTCAGCCTAGGATACATGGGGAGACTTTCTTAATAAAAGCAAAGACCCATGTAGGCAGGGCTCATGTCCTCCTCCCCCGTAGACCATGCATGCTTCCTCAGAAGGTCACTTTGCAGTAATGACAAGCTGCCTTTCCCTGCCAGCTTCTCTTACTCTATAGACATTTAAACTCTGTGTCCTGCAGACCAGCAATCCACCCAGTGCCTATACATGCTCCTCACATGTATAGGTCTGACAACTACTGAGGATGGCTCTTCAAGATCAAGGCTGAGCCCGTCCACATGCTGGCTTTCAGGGCCCTCCCACTTCTCTTTCTGTCTTTGCTCAGAAAGACCCTTCAAGGATCAGACCTCTCAGATCCACCACCGTTCCCTTCAAGGGGAGTTTAGCTTTGGGGGATTTTCCACAGAAAGTAGGAGAATGTTTTAATAATGTATTTTATAAAAACTCTGAGCTCATCATGGTGGGACTCACTTTGAGTTCCAGCATACAGGCGGCAAAGGCAGGCAGATCTGAATTTAAGGACAGTCTGGTCCATATGAGTTCCAGGATAGCCAGGACTACATAGACTCTTTGATGTAGACCCTGACTTAAAGAAAAGGAGAATGAAATGGAATCAGGACAAGACCACTCTGAAAAGAGATGATGGTGGCCTAGACCAGCACTGGTGCAGGTTGGCAGCTGTTCTCAGGTGTGAATACAATGAGAATCCCCAGGACTTCCCCAAGACCTGTGCAAGACAAGACCAAGGAGGAGCAGGCTGCACAGCTTGCAGGACGACTGTGAGGTGCCTGCCCCCATGTCCAGGAGGTACACAGATGTCAAGAGTAGAGAGGAGGGGAAGATGAGGGAACCACACATTTGAGAATCATCTGACACAGTCTAAAGCCACAAACACAAGGATGTGGGAAATTAAATTTCATTTCATTTCAAAAACATATTGGAAAATATTAACCATTTGAAACCTTACTGAATTTGAGGAGTCTGGGTCTGTCATTACTAATTTTTTCTACTTTAATTGTAAACTGATAACTTTATATTGATTTATATTGATGGGATACAAAGTGAGGTTATAATTCATGAAAACTGAATAAATAACTCAAGCCAATTATGTATCTATCATTTCAACTATTTCTCATTTTTATGTTAAGAATACTTGAAATTTACTTTCAGCAGTACACAGCACGATACATGGTCATAGTCATCATATCCAGTGTATCTCAGAGAAAACCATTTCTCCTGTCTAATTGAGGCCTCCTTTTCTTCCCAACACCTGCCCCCTGGCTGCCACCACTTTAATCTCTGCTGCTCTGGTCCCATGTTTAGACCCCACAGTGTTTGGCTAGCCCTGACTTATGTCACCGGGCACAATGTCCCCTACTCCATCCATGTCATCATAAATAACAAAATGTTTCTTTTTGTTTATGGTTTTGAGACAAGGTCTTCTGTAGCCCAGGCTGGCATCAAACTTGGTATGTAGCTAAGGATAACTATGAACTTCTGATCCTCCTGATTCTATCCCACAAGTTTTAGATACGTGCCATCACTCCTGAGTTTTAAAATTTCCGTCTTCTGGCCAGGTGGTAGTGACACACACCTTTAATCCCAGCATGTGGGAGCCAGAGAAAGGTGGATCTCTGAGTTTGAGGCTATCCTGGTCTACAGAGTGAGTTCCAGGGCAGCAAGGGCTCTACAGAGAAACCCTGGAAGTATGTCACTTTGCATGAGGGCACCTGACAGGAAGGGTGACTAGGGAACATTTTACATATGTTTTATTTTTGAAATTTTTATACTATATTTATTGCTTATAGTTCAACAATTGGGAGAGAGAGAGAGAGAGAGAGAGAGAGAGAGAGAGAGAGAGAGAGAGAGAGAGAGAGAGAGAGAGCGCACATGCCCAGAAGATGTCAGATTCTCTGGGGCTTGAGCAACCTGAGCTGCATGTAATTCAATTTTGTCTGAAAGCCTTCAGTGGAGCTTTGTTTGTTGAGGTTCTCATTGGTTTTCTATGACAGGATCTCATGAAGCCCCGATTGGTCTCAAACTGTCCATGTAGTTGAAGCTGACCCTCACCTGCTCTCTGGTGTCCACTTCCTCAGTGCTGATTTTATAAGCTTTTGTCACCATGCCTGGCTTAAGTGTTTGTGTCACTCCACTCTTTCTCTTCTCAGTAAGGAAAGTTAGGTTCAAATCCTGAGCTATTCCATAGCAAGCTTTAGAGGAGGCTGGAAGGTTTATCAGTGACTTCTAAATCTTTCTCTTAAGCCGGGCAGTGGTGGTGCACACCTTTAATCCCAGCACTTGGGAGGCAGAGGCAGGTGGATTTCTGAGTTCGAGGCCAGCCTGGTCTACAGAGTGAGTTCCAGGACAGCCAGGGCTACACAGAGAAACCCTGTCTCGAAAAACAAAACAAAAGACAAAAAACAAAAACAAAAAAATCTTTTTCTTAAAACTGAAAAGCAGCCCTGCATTGGTAGGGTAAAGTGTCTGCATCTAGGATAACTGAGTTTTTGACAGACACCTGTGCCCTCAGAACTCATCTTGCCTGAATCTACTGAGCTCTAACTAGGAATGACACAGTCAAGACACTTGTCACGTGCTCATTATGTGTCTGGGTCAAGAAGGCAGGCCAGATTTCAGTTCTCATCCTGACCTCACCCAGTCCACTTGAGAAACACAGATGGCTCTCCTCAGGCCATAGCTCAGAATGGCATGGAATCCACTGTCTGCAAATCTGGGCTGAGCTGTTCTGAGCTCTGAAATATTCCTAACATACTTACAATGGCCACTACATTTGAAAGCCTTCAGCCAGAAAGGGCATGGCAGACCTGCCATGTTTTTCAGGCAAGCAGAGAGACTGCTCCATGGGACTTGAACTCGTGTTGTCAGCCTTGGCAGCAAGAACCGTTACCCATCAAGCTGGACTTGAGAACTATTTTTTTTTTTTACACTAAGCTCTCATAATTTCAATTCTTTTGTATTTGTTAAGATTTGCTCTGTAGCATGGAATATAATCAGAGGTCCCACAGGTTGCTGACAAGAGGTGTATTCCTTTTGTTAAATGGAAGTCTGTAAGTTATCTGTGAAGTCCATGTGGACTATCATGTAGTTTAACTCCCAAGTTTCTTCATTGACATTGTTTAGATGACATACCAAGAGATTAACAGGATACTGAAATTGTCTACTATTGTTCGATCAGGAGTAGACTAACTTAGGCCTGTTAGTGTTTACTGTATGAAACTGGGAACTCTGATGTTCATTGCGTAGAACTAATAAATTTTCTTAAGAATTGCTTAGTTTGACCAGATGGCATGCTGTAGTGTGACTGTCTTATGCATCTGGCCTTAGTGGTCCCTTTAAGAATTCTTAGTTGCAGCTGGACAGTGGTAGCGCACGCCTTTAACTCCAGCACTTGGGAGGCAGAGGCAGGCGGATTTCTGAGTTCGAGGCCAGCCTGGTCTACAGAGTGAGTTCCAGAACAGCCAGGGCTATACAGAGAAACCCTGTCTCCAAAAACAAACAAACAAACAAGTCATTTTAAAAGAATTCTTAGTTGTTAGAACTTCTTGTCCCTATGACCTTCAGTGTTGGTTGCCTCTTGGATTTCTGGGAACAGGATCAGATATACAACAACAACAACAACAACCCAACTGAGAAAGGGAACTGGGCTAGCAGAGTGAGAAGAGGAGGCAGTTGGTGGAAAAGACATTGTTAGGAGATAGTTAAGCAAGGAGAAGCTGAGCTGAGCAGATAGGCTAGAACAGTTGTTATAGTTTGGAGATGTTGGTACTGGGAAACTGGGAGGAGGGACTGTTTAAGTAGACTGTTGGGGAACTGAGGGAGGACTGGCTGGGAGAAACCTTTGAAGGGGCTGGGCTGGAAACTGGGAGGAGCGATTGTGAAAGTAATGAGATCAGGGTGCAGGGGGAAAGAACAAATCACAAAGTAGCAAACACCAGCTATGGCACACATCTTTCTTTAATCCGAGCACTTTGGAGGCAGAGGCAGCAGAACTCTGAGGCCAGCCTGGTCTACACGGTGAGTTCCAGGACAGCCAGGGTTATACACACACAAAAAGAATTTGTTTGGTTTCACAAGTAGTAGCCTTTCCCCTTCCTAGTTTTGCCTGACATCACTGTATTAGTTATCAGAATAACGAGGGTCTCAGGACACCAGTTGGATTGCAGCCTTGTAAGGGTCTGTGGACTTCTGACCTCTCAAGCAAACTAGGACCTCTGTTCCACTAGGCTTGTGATAATTACTATAGCAGAAGTAGAAAGTTAATACAGTACTGATTCAAAAAGGGATACTTTTCAGATAAAACCACTTAGAAAATAAAGTTTATTGTACAGAATTTACATTTCTTATATATAACAAACATAACAACCTCTACAACCTCTTTTCTATAGCACTTCTAACACATCCCGGGCAATACAAAATTCTGTCCAGCACATGCCCAACAGCCAGTTTTGTGATCTCTGAGGGACGAGGGAAAAACTGAAAACATCAAAACAGTGCAGGAGGAAGTCCACTGCCAAAGAGCAGCCGCCAAGAGCTGGGGATCTTCCATGGCAAGGCAGACGCTGTGGGGCTGTCACTCTGTAACAACAGGAAGATATTTCATCTTTAGTCTCACTGACAAATCTCTCTTTTGGTCTCTTTTGTAGCTGGTTATTATTATTAGGAAAACCAAAGCTATCAGTTTCTGTCCTCATATAAAATAATAGGTTTCTAAGTTTTACCTCAATAATGTGCCAAAATAGCTACAAATAAAGTGCATTAAGTAACTCAAATTCAAGAGGAACATGGGTGGGCATGGCAGGGTCTCCAGCAGTGCCAGAAAAGGGCAGGCGGAGGCAGACGGTTATACAGTTGGTGTACCAGCTGTGGTACATAAGACCTTCTCCATCAAATACAAAGTGTCTGTGTGTGTGGGGTGTGTGTGTGTGTCGGGGGGGGTATTTAAAAAAAAGTAACTTGAAGATTTGGGCTGGGGGTGGGGGTTGAAACAAGATCTCACCATAAAGTTCTGCTGTCTTAAAACTCTCTGTGTAGACAGGCTGGCTTCAAACTCACATTAGTCTGCCTACCTCTGCCCAAGTGCTGTGATTAGGGCATGCAATATCATGCTTGGCCTTGGTGCTTCTGTAGGGCCGACAGGCTCATTTCTCCAGGTTATACCATCCGTTTCATGGCAGGGAACAATGATCTACAACTTATTAGAGAGCCATGGTACTGCTCACATGGCCATAGCAATACTGTAATACCCTAAAGCACTCAACTGTACACAAGTCTGGTTTACTCTTTCAAGAAGTTGTTAGGGGCAGGCTGTGATGGCACATGTCTTTAATCCCAGCACTGGGAGGCAGAGAGAGGAGGATCTCTCTGAATTCGAGGCCAGTCTTGTCTACATAGCAAGCTCTAAAACAACCAGCCAATCAAAACTACAAAACACACAAACAAAACAAAACAAAACAGGCTGGGTGGCAGTGTCTTTGGCCCATGCCTTCAATCACAGCACTTGGGAGGTACAGGCAGGTGGATCTCTATACGTTCAAGGCTAGTCTGGTCTACAGAATGAGTTTCAGGACAGCCAAGGCTACACAGAGCAATTCTGTCTCAAAAACCAAACCAAACCAAACCAAACCAAACCAAACCAAACCAAACCAAACCAAACCAAACCAAACCCATCCCAATTACTGTACTGTGTACAGAGCACACTGAGGCACTTAGCATTTTCCTGTATGCAAATCTGCCTTAACCAAACATGAGGTAACAGCTTAGTTAGCTGTTCTCACTTATTTTCAAAAGTTGGGCTCAAACTAAAGCTTATGCTGAGATATGTATTTATTGAACAAACTTTCACCTCTTTAGCCTACTTTATACATAATTCGAGTAATGGGCACATAGTGAATAGCACAGAGACTTACGCTGCAGTAAAACTTACACATGGTTTGATTATCTGAAGCCATTCATTGAGGTACTCCACAAGGCTGACTGCATCTGGTATATTATCCCCTTCTGAAACAAATTTCAGCAGAACTGCCATTTGGATTTCTTTAGAACAGCTACAAGAAATAAAAAGAACAATTCATTGTTTTCTCCTGATACAAGATGCTTACAGTAGTGTGTAAGCTAACCTGCCTCATGTTGGCCAAGAAAAGACATGACATCCTAAGATTTCTTACCTCCCATTGTCCTACATACATTCTGCAGCCTGGGGAATATGCAAGTGTGTACCTCACTCATTCTCAGGAAAAGCCAGCCTTTCTACAGGCTTAGCTGTTAACACGAGACATGCTCTGTGCTACTTCAAAAGCCTACTTTCTAAGAGTGGTTTTTCAGAAGCAAAGAGACTGAAATGAACAATCTTGCTTAACAGGGTCTTATGTGGCAAAGACTGGCCTCAAACTTGTTCCCTCATTGGACCTGTCCTTGCATTCCTGATCCTCCTGACTCCATGTGTCAAGTGCTGGGGTTACAGGTGTGAAACACCAGCCCATGCTCCACTCTTAACAATTGAAAGCAGTGGAAGGAAACGGGAAGAGAATGAAACAGTAGCGAGAAGAGAGGTTATTCCTTACAGATAACTTGTTCTGCTTGAGACAGGGTCTCTATGTACCTCTGTCTGTCTTGGAACTCATTTTGTAGACCAGGCTGACCTTATGCATAGAGATCCTCCTGCCTCTGCTTCCTGAGTGCTGGGATTAAAGGTGTGAACAGTACACCTTCACTATTTATTGACATCTGCAAATTTTATTTTTCAGTCTCCATCCTCATTCATGAATCAGTTGGAATCACAGGAACAAAACAGAATGATAGGATTCAAACTCTTGCTGTCTCACTTAGCAGATATGCTGAATAAGTTCCTTCTGGGTTCTACAGTTTCTCGAAGACTCAGGGGCCCTACCTCCATGGACACAGAGGCACACACTGCAATCCTAGCACAGTGGAGACTGAAGCAGGAAAGCTGCTGAGCTGGGGTCAGTCTAGGCTATGTGAGATCTGTCTCAGAAACAACATAAAAAGCACCAGAGAAAGAGGCAGAGACTGACAGACTGATCTACCAAGAAGCCTGGCCTTGTGAAGTTTCACCCTGCACTGTGGCTGAGAATGCCGAGGCCTGAGCAGAACGTTAGAACCACAATCCTATTTCTGATTTTCTGCCTGCATTTCAAGTCACCTTAGCCTCCCTGTCTCATCTCCCGTCCGTCAGCTGTGCAGACTGTGAGACTTTTCATCCTGTCCCTGCTGTGCTGCAGTCCACATGGTAGCTGACAACAGAAAGTTAGGGCAATTACAGGGCATTTCAGAGATGACAGACAAATGCTGCCTGTTGGACATTATCTAAAAGCAGTTATTTATGTCAAATTTTCATTTTTTTTTTACTAAGAGGACAGTATATCTGATCTGGGCTTCTATCTGACTTGTGAAGAAGCAAGAGTGGAGTGTACAAGGAGGGGTGCCCCATGTGCAGAGGCATCAGTATACAAGAAGAGGTGAACTGAGAGCAAACCCTTGCAAAGTAGAAGTGAGGACAAGAAAAGAGAACAAGAGCAGGAGGGCGACACCCTTCAAAGAACTGTCCTGCCAACAGTTACCGGGGCAGAGAGCAGAGTGGATGGAGGACCCAGAAGGAGTCAGGTGGAGACTGTGGAAGCCCTTCGGTGGCTTGTTAAGGAGCAGGAATCAAGTGCTGGATAAAATCCCTGACAGATTTTATCTGGGGACTGTTGGCAGCCACTACCTGCTGATGCTGTGAGGGGAGAGCAGAGCTGGTCAGGACAGAGCACACAGGACAGAAGGTTATGAGACTGTAAGCAGATGCTATGGAATGAATCGCTCCTTCCCACAATTCATCATGCTGTGACTGAAGCAGGAGAAAGGGTCTTTATTGGGTAACTGAGGCTCAGTGAGCTCATAAAAGGAGAATCCTAGATAAGGCAGATCATGGCTGTACATCAAGAGAGAACTTTGCTGTATAGACACAAACAACACTGTCTACAAGAACAGGATCTAGCTACTCCACAACTGTGAGAGGGAATGTTTCTATTGTCCCGGGCTATCTGGGCCATCCTACTTTGCCACAGGACTCTCAGCTGTCTGATACACGTATCTAGGCTACAAAAAAGACAGGCCAAATGAGGCACAAGAATAACTCAAAGCTGCTGACTGCCCAGGCAGACCAGAGAACACGTAGACCACAGGGCTTCCTGGCTCTGGTCAGACAACGGCTGAGTGGGTGACAGACAAGGAAGTAACAGCTGAAAGGAATGTCCTAGGAATAGAGTACATTCTCAGGAAGGAGAGAAAGCAAGGATATGTAAGTATGGAGAGATACACACACAAACACACACACACACACACACACACACACACACACACACACACACACACACACAGAGTTGCAGAAAAACAAACTGAAATGCTCATACAGTATTTAGGAGAGAAATCGTAAATGTTTTTCAAAATAGCAAACAGGAGGGGCCGGGGATGTGGCTCAGTGGTAAAGTTCCTGCAGAGGACCTGGGTTAAATCCCTACTTCAGGGAAGGGGGGCAAAAACATAAAAATCCATACATAACAAGGAAGTTTAATGTTTTGATTATAAATAAACTCTAACATGCCACTGACCATGGGGATTAACCCTGCTAGGGAAGAGATTAAGAGCTCAAAGTGGGGTGTCTGGGGTTAGAGGCCATGATTGAATTCCAGCTCTGCTATTTATTATTTGTACAGCTTTCAGCAAGTCACTTAGGCTTCCAGCTCGTCAACTGTTTCACTCACGTGGCTAGCAAAGGTGTGTGTATCTGCAGTGAATCAGGCATAGGCAGCACAGGGGAATGCCAAGCCCCACAGGCAGTGTCCACGTTGCTATTATTTACATTACAGTATGAGGTACAATGACTCCACCAGGGTCTGTAAAAGCAACCAAGCTGAAGGTCCACTGATTTCTAAGACAGTCCCACAATGTAGCCCTGACTAGCTTAGAACTGTCAATCCTTCTGCCTCAGTCTCCAAAATGTGGGACTGTAGACATGTGACACTATGTCTAGTGAGACAGATTTATTAAAATGTCTCTGAGCAATAGCAGAGAAGAGATGTGTTTGTCTATGGTTAGCTCCGGCTCACTCAAGTCTATTTTTGAGGAAGCACAGGATGGTGCTCATTTTGATCTCTCTTCACAGCAGAGTGTAGACCAGAACATACACTGCTGTCAATGGAAGCCTCCTGTGAGCAGCATCTTCCTTTCATAGCCACGGCTCTGTTATCCATGAACTTAATCAGGCACTCGATGGAGGATGAGAAAGAGGGGATGCACGGATAAAGCAAGGAACACTGGTTAGCACCCGCAGTACCAGGAGTCTGACAGCAGACATGGGATGCATGTAACAGTCAATCTGCAAGAAGAAAGGCTGAGAGAAATATGATAGTGTTCTAGTTCTCACCTTTCCTTTCATGTACACCTTCTGTTTATAGTTCATAGACTAACCAAAAGCAACTGTATATACATCTAAAACAGTTATAAAGTCATGTTAGTGTGCATGCAGTAAATAAAGACAAAACGTGTTGACAGTGTGCTGAAGGGACGCAGTACAGCTGATCTTAGTGTTAAGTTCCAGTTAGATACCTTGGAGGTAGGTACGTGCGTAATCAGCAGGGGAACTACGAAGGATCTCTACAGAAAGCCTAGAAGTCTTTTTCAGAGGCAGAGTGGAAGCACGTGTGAACTCATGCATGATATCCTGAGTTCAGTCCTCTGAACAGCAAACAAGTATAAAACACAAAGGGAAAAAGAGAAAAGAATCAGAATGTACCACTAAAAAATATCAACTACCAAAAAAGATAGCAAACAAAAACAAAAGCTGTAAAACTTGCAGAAAACAAACTGCAAAGGACAAGTTTTTTCTCCTCAGTAATTGTTTAATAAAGGATTAACCACTATCCAAAGGACAGAAATTATAAATCAGGGTAGTAGTGCTTGCTTTAGTTCAAGTACTTTGAGTGGTCAGCAGGAGGATCATGGGTTGGGCCATTACAGTGAGCTGAAGGCCAGCCTGTAGTACAAACAGAAACGGGAGAGAGGAAGGAAGCAAATAAGCATGGTGGCTTGCAATCCTAGCATTTGGGAAGTGGAAGCAGGAGGATCAGGGGTTCAAGGCCAGCTTGGCTTCATGAGACTCTGTGTATAAATCAACAGTGAGAAAGAAATGGAGAAACTTACCTTTCATCATAGAGTGTTTTTGTGATTCCACCTCCAGGAATTCGAATACAAAATTCAGAATCACTCATTTCAGGGATGCACCGACTCTTTTCCATTTCTAGCCAGTTTAGGCTCTTTATTTTATTTTGAACACTCTTTTGCAAACAAGGTGTAAGCAGATATCGGAAGGGAGTACTAGAAAAATCATATTATGTTTTTTAAAAAATACAAATACCAGAGAAACTCTGTCTCAAAAAATGAAGCAAAACAAAACAAAAGTCAAATCTTAGGGTAATGATGAGAGCAGTCCATATAATATTTTATAAAATCTGTGATAAAATATACAAGCTTTTATTTCTATTTCTAATGAATTTTGTCTCATTTACTATTTAAGAACTCACTCTGGGGAATCATGGTAGAGTGTCTGTCTGGAGTGTGCAAGGCCCTGGGCTTGATCTCCAGCACAATCACACCACACACTCTATTCTATACATAACATACCTCTACAACCTCGGTTTGATCTACAGCATGTGTATGCCTCTCTACCATGCACAAACGCGATCCTACTGACATACTAGGATACTGAAAGGATTTCTACAACTACAAATGGTTGCATACAGGGAAATAAATAAAGTTGGTTTAATCTCTCAAATGCCTCTATTTAATGTAGTGGCAGAGAGTAGTTTACTCAGCAGCAGCAGCAGCACTCGCTGTGCAGAAAGCTTTGGTTTGATCCTTGTGCCATAAGAAGTTCTCTTCCTTCTGCTGGTCTCAGGAGCTGAGATCTACCTACCCATTCCAGTTAGGAAAGGATATACTGCTCTTTAAATACACTAGATAAACAAGTGACCACTGTATAACAAAGGCAAGAACACACCTGCGCAGCTGGGCATCATTACGGTGATATGAATGGCTGCTCGAGAGAACAATGATCTTGGTACAGCCGCTACTTTCCACCCAGGCCAGCAGTTTTTCACAGAATGACTTGGATTTATACTTCAGATGCCATTGAGACAGCAGAAAGAAAATATGAATTGAGATCTCCGAGTGTAAGATAACCTATGTAACCCTTTCCCCGCCAACCTCATGAGACAATGAACGACATGATTTGCTGATACTGAAATGATCAGTACTGTCAAGTCCGTTTACTTTGATTTAATGTATCTTTACAATCATAAAATAAGTTGTGAAGAATATAGATCTCTATCCTAAGGAAAACGTCCCTTCTCTCTTGTACTTAACCAACTACACAGTCATCTACAAGCTATTCTTATTATAAAGATCACTGTACTATGATCACAAGGAACTAATCAGATAGACAGAGTAATGATTATCTAGTATCTGGCTTTGATTCCTCAAAGGAATCAGTACTGAGAAGAATGGAAATACAGTTAAAGACACCGACTGAAAGGATGGATACTGCAAAACGGAACATGTCAGCTTGATTGCTTCTAGAACTGAAAAGACTTTTGGAAATAACTGGGGAGAACAATACACTGGATGACATTCCAGTCAGTAATAATGTTGTCAGGGTTGTGAATGGTGCTGTGGTTATGGCTGTCCTTGTTGTTGTTGTCTAACGTAAGCTCCTTTTCCCAGGACTGGATAGAACCCTGAGCCTCATCTCATCATACGTGCTAGGCAAGTGCTCTACTCCTCAGCTCAAGCCCCAGCCCCTGTCCTTGTTCCTCAAAGCCATGTGAACGTTTAAGGATGAAATATACTAGACAAGTGAACTTGTCCAGTGGTCTGAGGTCTTGGGATAATCTCTAATGCTGAATACAACAACAACAACAACAACAACAACAAAATCAAAACAACACACACACACCAAACATACAAATATATATGCACCACTGTGGAAAAAAAAATCAAACAGAGGATTAGTGCCATACTGCTGTACTTAAATCACACAATGCCAAACAGAGAGAAAACAAGCACTCTATTGTGAGGTCCAGATGAACCTCACAGAGAATGCTGAGGAAAGGAAGCCAGACAGAAAGAAACATCTGCTCTAGGAGTCAGTCTACCTCAGGATGATTTACCGTATCACTAGGTGCCCTTGAGTGGTTGATAATATTCTATCTCATGACTTGGGAGAAATTTACTTGTACTTGTTGCCCCATATATTTAGGTAAAATAAATTAAAAAGTACTATACAAGAAACTACTATACAGTTAACTTTTCTACTATACTCTTAACAGGGCATGAGATCACACATCTGTGATCTCAGCACCAGAGAGGTCAACTCTAACTCTAGCTACATAAGACTCTGGTTTCAAATAACAAAAACAAGAACCTTCTGAATTTCTGACCTCCTGAACAGATAGTGTCTGAAGAGCACCACAGGTGCAGTGTGCCTGGAGGCTGGATACGCAGAGCAGCTACCAGCAGAACCCCTAATCATGGCCATGTTCCTAAGCAGTCTCTTGCTTTGTGTAGCTACAGAGAACAGGCAGATAGATGGGGCTAGAGACTACTTTATCAGCCAGGGAGTCTCCCAGACCCTGGTAAAGGGCTATGTAGTCATCCATTTTGAGATGGAAAGCCTGAGGGTTTCAAGGGAGGTTTAGACAGTCGCTGGTATTGCTGTGGGAAGGGCAGAGTGAGGACAGTACTTTTGTATGATTGAGCAATGGTGGTTAGAGCTTTTTTAGAATTTCCAAGACAGGGTTTCTCTGTGTAGCCCTGTCCGAGAACTTGCTCTGTCAGGCCAGGCTGGCCTCTAATTCAGAGATCCGCCTGCCTCTGCCTCCTGAGTACTGGGATTAAAGGCATGGGTTAAAGCCACCAATGCCTGGCTTAGAATATGTTTTGATAAATGATTTACATCTCAAAATTTTTCTGCAGAGTTACCTGCAGAGAACATGTTAAAACTCATGATTGATCCACTATTCCTTTCAGTATAAAAATGAAATGATAGCAACATACCTGATATGTTATGAAATTCTTTATTAACTCAAGCCCTTTCCTAAGTGTATAAAACAATATAATAGAAATAATTCTTTAGTCTTGACTCCTTTGTCAGCATATATTAATAAACTTAGAACAGTGGGCGTACTGACCTTAATAAAGATGGACCTCAGCTGAAGCACCACTAGCTTTCTTGACGGTAAGGAATACACTACAAAGAGAAGGAAATCACAGGATACAATATAGTGAACGAGTTGCTAAGTTGGGATTATTAATATGACAAATTATATTTGAGTTACAAGAGCTTTTGTATTTAAATACTTTCAACAATAAAAACACAGGCTTTTAGGGCTGGTGTTCAAGTGTGAAGATCAGAGTTAGATCCTTAGAACACACATGTGACGGCCAGTCTTGTTTGTCAACGTGACTATATCTGAAATCAACTCAAACCCGAGCAGCTAGGCATACCTGCGAGGGATCTTCTTGACTGGATTGTCTGAGGTGGGAAGATGCTTCCTAAATGTGGGCCACATCTTCTGGTGGCAGCTCACATAAAAGGACATGGAAGAAGGAAGTGTTTGTTTTTTGCCTGCTTGCCCTCACTCTAGCTGGCAAGTTCATCTATCCTGTTGCTGAGGCACTCCTTTGCTGATATGAGAGTGTCTAGCTTCGTGGACTGAACTACTCCTGGATTCTTGACCTTTTCTTTGAGACAGCCCTTGTTGGACCAGCCAGAACACAGCTTGTCAGCCACTCTAATATATCATGTACATATTCATTCTTTCAGTTCTGTTGATATAGAGAACCATGACTAATACACCATGTATTTGCAGTCATGGTGGATGTGGTGGCTCACCTATAATTCCACCTCTCAGAAAGTGAAGACAAGAGATCTCTGGAGCAAGCTGGCTAGCCAGACTAGCTGAATCTTTGGACTCTGGGTTTACTTGACTCTGCCTCAATGAATAAAGTGCAGAGTGATCAAGGAAGACTTCCCGAAGTCAACTTCCAGACTCTCACACATGTGTACGCTCCCATAACAAATGTATCAACACACAAGCATAAACATACACAAGGAAAAACATAAAAAGCTCTATGCCCTTTCCAGTTACTGTTCTGTATTTCCTTCCTTTAGGGCTTGTTTTATTTGTTGTTTTGAGACAGGTCTTACAACGTGCCCAGGTTAGTCTGTTCAAGCAATCACCCTGTTTCAACTCTGCTGTGCAGCTGTAATATAAGAATGTGCCACCATGCCTGATTTATAGTTTCTTTTTAATTTTTTAAGTTAAAAGACTTGGTGGTGGCCGGGCAGTGGTGGTGCACGCCTTTGATCCCAGCACTTGGGAGGCAGAGGCAGGCGGATTTCTGAGTTCCAGGCCAGCCTGGTCTACAGAGTTAGTTCCAGGACAGGCAGGACTACACAGAGAAACCCTGTCTCGGAAAAACTATACCAAAAAAAAAGAAAGAAAGAAAGAAAGAAACAAAACAAAAACAACTTGGTGGTGTATAACTAAGTTATATACACATCCTTAAGTGCAGTGCCCATGGAGGCCAGAAGATCTCTGATCCTCTAGAGCTGGAGTTACAGATGGTTATGAGTGGCGATGGGAGCAGCAAGTATTCTTAAGACTGAATCATCTCTCCAGCCCCTACTTATGGCTTTAAGTTAGCACAGTGTAGCCCATAGCATTTTATACATAGTGTCACTGTACTTTGTTCCTGAGAGTTTATTCCCGGTTTAAAAGCTGGACACAATTATTTACACCTGTGATTCCAGTACTCAGGTGGCAGAGGCAGGAGGGCCACAAGTTCCAAAAAAGCCTGGGGTATACAGTGAGACCCTATCTCAAATAAGTTAATACTCTATAGTAGGAAAACATGCCATAGACATACCTTCAGTATTTATACTGAGTTCATTTGAATTTTCTTCTTCAGTTGCATATGGATTGTTTCCAACCATTGGCACCAGGCAATCAGTATAGAAATAACCGATCTTACACATGTTCAGTGTAGAAATAATCAGATCTATTGCAAGCTGGCCAACATTTCCAACAGATACTGCTGGCTGAAATAAAGAAGATATGCCCTATGAATCACCAAAATTAGCAGTACTTTTAAGTTTAGATAGCAAAAGTATGGAATGCTTCTGCTCAGGCACACAGCAAGACACTGGTTGTTTTACAAAATAAAACAAAGCTTTCTGCCCTTGTGGAGTTTCCATTCTACCAAGGAAGTGGTTCACTTGTGATAAACAGTAAGTCAGACAGCAGTGTTGTGAAAGAATACAGTGTATGCATGAATACCACTCATAAGTAGGGTGATGAAAGAAAGGCTTACTGTAGGTGACAAATGGCTACAGACTTGAAAAAGGCAGAGAGCCACAGCATTTATTTATTTATTTATTTAAAAAATTATATTTTATTTTATTTTAGAGACAGGGTTTCTCTGTGCAGCCTTGGCTGTTATGGAACTCACTTTGTAGACCAGGTTAGATTTGAATTCACAGAGATCTGCCTTTCTCTGGTGAGATTAAACATCTGCACCACCACCACCACCAACAACAACTGGCCTGTATTTTTATTTATTTATTTTTATTTTTTATTTTTTTTAGGTTTTTCGAGACAGGGTTTCTCTGTGTAGCCCTGGCTGTCCTGGAACTCACTCTGTAGACCAGGCTGGCCTCGAACTCAGAAATCCTCCTGCCTCTGCCTCCCAAGAGCTGGGATTAAAGGTGTGTGCCACCACCACCTGGCATATTTTTATTTTTATTTTTTTTTAAAAGTGTACTTTTGATATGCATCATACCCTCACTTCTCAGGAGTCTACAGAGCTAAAATTCTCTAACAGCTGTCCACTACTGTGTAAAAATAAACTTTACCTCTGAGTTAATCTGTGAACACATATGCTCTACCTCTGTGGTTCCAACACAGTTCCTCATGTTGTGGTGACCCCAACCATAAAACTATTTTTGTTCCTACTACATCACTATAATTTTGCTAGTGTTATGAATGGTAATGTAAATATCTGATATTTCCAATGGTTTTAGGTCATCCTGTGGTGGGGTCGCGACCCACAGGTTGAGAGCCACTGCTTACCGCCTCCTCTCCACTCGTTTGACCACTCCTCCAAGAGGCATTTTTCACCATTTCACTATTAACTGCTTAACCACCTGATCATCTATGTGTTGCCACTCCTAAATGAACACTTTATGCCTTACTTGCTTGATACTAGAATAAGAGATACCCCTCTCTGTCTCCTTTTATATTACTTTAAAAAAATACATTCTCTGCTGCCTCATAGGTCACAAGGCTTCAAGCCTATTTTCTCACCACAGGTCATTCTAAATTTGTAGTATTCCAGGATTATGCGTCTCTCTTTTACATATCCATTTTTCAGTAGGGCATCCTAAGCCCATCTTTTTGGTCACTGATTTTCCTAAAAGATCAAAAGCCCTTGTGTTTCTCCTGTCAACTTTTTTAAAAATTAAAAACGTTTTAAAATTACGTGTCTGAGTACATGCATACGTGAGTGCCAGTACCCTCGTCGGCCAGAAGGGGGTGTGAGGGACCCTGGAGCTGGTTATAAGCCATTGTGAGTCTGCAAGAATTCCATCCTCTGTAAGCCATACAGGTTTTAATTACTGAGCTATTCCTTTAGCCCCCTCCCCGTAAGTTTTGTTGTTCTTGTTGATTTGCTTATTTATTGGGACAGGTCTCCTTCAGGCTGCTCTATAGATGCCTTTCCAGCCTCACGAGTGGAAGTGCTGGAAATACAGGCTTGGTTAAAGCACACCCAGTTTCCTCGGGTCCATGATCTCAAGTCTTTCTCTTTTCCAAACGACTGTCTTATTTATTGCTCTTACCGATATACACGTGTTTCTAGCTACATTGTAAACTCTGATGACAAGCACCTCGGGATGACTTAACAAGGTTAATTCCACAACTGCCTGTTAGGCTACGATCAGCTCTCTAATGCAGTTGATGGCCTATATCAATACTGACCCAAACTACATAAAAACACTTTCACGAATAAAACTTAGGAATTCCCCCAGTGCGACTTATATGCAATGTATCTGCAATCTACAAACATTACAGTTGACAGGCAACGAAGGCTTCAGCTAGCAGACAGGCCTTGATAGCGCTGACAAAGGTGCTAACTAGACAGCCGCTTCTAGGGATAACCTCCAGGTTGGTTGGTTTCTTTTCAGGCTTGAAACCCGAAGCAGAAACATGTGCCCGGCTCTCCTAAGGCCAGGTGGCGCTTCCTGGGTTGGGGTGGCGATAGCGTCAACTCAAGTAGAGACTCACCATCAGGAGTGTGAAGTTCGTTAGGTCGGGGACCGACTCCCCGCAGGGAATGAACATGACTGCAGTGGGCGTGTGAGAAGCTCGAGCGCCGTCCGGGACAGCGAGGCCACCTCCTTAAGACAGAAGGCGGAACTCGCGATCGCCCCGGGTCCTTCGGGTCCTTCGGGTCCTGTAGGTGTCCGGCGCGCTGCCTGCGCACAGCGCAGAACGAGGCTCGAGCGCGCGGCGGGCGGCGCTCCCTGGGGATGTAGGTCGAGAACTGGCGACGGAGGACGTGGAGATCGCGCGTTCGGGATCCTCGAGGAGGCGGCGCGGTGGACGGCGTGGATCAGGCAGCTCACAGGCCAGCCCCGGCGTCTGTCAGTCCGCACGGTTTGAAGACAGTTAGTTGTGGCGCCGCGGCTGCCGGGTTCCCGCCTTGCCAAGTCTGACGCGGTCGCGGCGCTTTGTGCTCCGCCCGCCACTGATGCTGCGCGGCCGGGACGACGGGCTCCGCGGCTGCACCGTGTGAGGCGGAGAGTAGCGGCCGCGAGGCGCCAGCGCAGGTATGTCGCTGCCTCCGGAGAAAGCCTCGGAGCTGAAGCAGCTCATCCACCAGCAGCTGAGCAAGGTGAGGAGCTCGGGCGGGTCGGCCCCGGAGCCGAGCCAGGGCGGTGGAGCGGGCGCGGGCGGGTAAGCTTCGGTCCGGTGTGAGACCCAAGGGAGCGTTGAAGGCTCTATAGCCAGTGTGGAGAGCCGCTGTGAACCAGAGGCGGTCCCGCCGCTTTCCAGATGTCCAAGTACAAGTAGTTCGAGGCCAGATGTTTGGGGTTACTTTACGCCAGGAACCCCGGTTGCAGTAAGAAGTTTATGGAAGACAGGGCGCTCAAATGACTGACAACGCGTTTACCCAACTCGGGGCTTCCAGGAGACTTCCCAGCGGCACTCAACTGCTGGCTGTAAGCTGAAGTAATAAAGCCTCTTTATGGTGTGTTGGTGCGCCAGGGTTTGTCCCAGAGTCTCTAGCTTCTTTTGTCGAATCCCCAAAACGGTCTCGTTTTTTCCATCGTATGGGCAAGGAAATAGACGGACAAATTAGAGTTGCAAGTTGACTATGCGAGAAAGCCGAAAACAACTCGTTCTTTGTTCTGCCTCCTTCCAGGTGTATGTTCTTTTGATTATCCTCCACTCCCTCTCTAAAGAATTGTTTCCACTGAATTATTTGCGGGCAATAAAGGTTGATAACCAACCAGTTGAGATTGCTTCTAGTATGTTGCTCAAAAGTTTCACCTCTTAAAAAGCTCAATTTTATTGGCATTCGGTATCTGTAGTTATAGAAGCCCAAAACTCTACAAGTGGTTTTTAACTGCTTTATAATGTTGTAAATTGTTTTTTTTTGTTTGTTAGTTTGTTTTGTTTGTTTTGAGACAGGGTTTCTTTGTGTATTTTTTTCTGGCTCTCCTGGAACTCTATAGACCAGGCTGGCCTAGAGCTCGCAGGCCTCTGCCTGCCAGGTGCTAGGAATAAAGACATGCACCACCACCACCAGGCATAATTTTGTAAATTGTAATATGGGTTTTCTCCATAGATGGATGTCCATGGCAGAATAAGAGAAATTCTTGCAGAGACTATACGAGAAGAATTAGCACCTGATCAACAACATTTATCCACAGAAGATCTGATCAAAGCTCTCAGACGTCGAGGAATCATTGATGATGTAATGAAAGAACTTAATTTTGTGACTGTGAGTAATTTTCTAGGTAAACAAATTGAAAGTGTGAATATTTGCCTGTGTCTAACAATTTACAGGGTCCATACTTGTGGCCTTTCTTAAAACTACCAGAAGTTCATTCTGTCTAGTAATAGCCATTTTTCTTAGTTTTTAAGAAGACTATATGTATGACTGTTTTGCCTACATGTAGGTCTGGTGCCCACAGTGTTCGGGGAGGGCTGTGATCATCTGGAACTGGAATGAGCCACCATCAAGATGTTAGGGGAGTTGATCTCAGGTCCTCTGGAAGAGCAACAGTGCTCTAAGCTGCTGACTCATCTCTGCCCCTCTGTAATGTTTTTACCTCTGGTGCTTTTTGTGTTTTCAGATAGGCTTTTCTGTGTAGCTCTGGCTGGCCTGAAACTCATTTTATAGACCAAAGATGGCCTCAAATTCACAGAGATAGCATGTTGTCTGCCGCCTGAATACTGGGACTTGGGACTAAGGGCTTGCATTTGTTGTTACTGCCTGGCTCCTTTTCTGAGGTTTTAAGTTGGCCCCATCATGAGTTGGCAAATAGGGCTCATGAGACAGGAGCTGTTGGACACTGTATGTCTTCCTCTGACATGACAGAAACTTCTGCTATTCTGTATATTGCTAATTTATTTAGGTTAGGTCTGTTTTAAAGCAAATACAATTATGAAATTCTATAAGAAAAGAGCTGGCTACATAAAAACCCCTCATTTCTCTGTACAAATAGGTCAGTAATGGGCTATTTCCCAGTGCATTTAGTAAGTAGGCCTTATTTTGAAAATGAGGCAATAATGAAAAACTGTGACCTCAATACAGGAGTAATATTCTACTAAAAATAGGACGGACTTCATAATACGCTAGAGAATCGAGTATGTTAATACACTAGCCTTTTTTGGGTTTTGAGGTTTGCAAACCTATTTGTTATTAAAAAACTGACCTATTGGCCGGGCAGTGGTGGCGCATGCCTGTAATCCCAGCACTTGGGAGGCAGAGGCAGGCGGATTTCTGAGTTCGAGGCCAGCCTGGTCTACAGAGTGAGTTCCAGGATGGCCAGGGCTACACAGAGAAACCCTGTCTCAAAAACCAAAAAAAAAAAAAAAAAAAAAAAAAAAAAAAAAAAAAAAAAAAAAAAACTGACCTATTAACAGCCTCTGCTGCATAAATGTTACTTTTTAAAAATCAGTTCATGGTGGACTGGAGAGTTGTCACAGTGGTTAAGAGCGCTGACCTCCCTTCCAGAGGTCCTGAGTTCAATTCCCAGCCACCACATGGTGACTCATAACCATGGGATCTGATACCCTCTTCTGGTGGATGTGAAGGGAGCGACAGCAATACTGTATAACCATAGCTGTCCTAGAACTCACTGTGTGCCAAGGCTGGCCTTAAACTCACAGATCCACCCACCTCTGCCTCCCAAGTGCTGGAAGCAAAGGCATGTGCCACCATACTCAGACAGATGCTGTACAGAGTTTGAAGGAAGGTTAGCCTGATTTAAGGTATCAGTTTGTTTTTTAAGGCCATGCTTGGCATCTCATGCCATTTGTTCCAGCACTCAGGAAGCAGAGATAGGCAGAGCTCTCTAGTTAAGGCCAGCATGGTCTGCATGATTTTAACATTTAGTGGTTGGCGAGACGTAGAGACAATTTAATCCCTTCATATTAGACTTTTACAAGTTAGATCTCTTTGATATAAGTATTTTCATTTTAATTAGGCTAGAAAAATAAAGGCTTTGATTTGGTTTTATCTTTATTTTTTTGCTTTGGAGGCAGTGTGATTTCACCCCTTCCTAGGACAGAAGGCTTTTTGAAGGAGGTTGATCCTATAGTGTTTTTTTCTATCACTGCAATTTTCATAGCTAGGAATTTTTTTTTTTAATTTTCTAATTTGTATTTTTTTCCTACTTTTCCAGGATAATGTTGATCAAGAGCTCCCTTCTCCAAAGCAAACTGTTGGTTTTGATAAGCAGTCAACATTAAAAAAAAGTATGTATATACATAATATATTTTCAACATAAACTTGGTAATGGACATATGGTAGTATTTGGCATTTGATAAATATTTCAAGTTTTTCTTTTCAAAGTGAAGTACTTAAAATTTGTCATTGGTTAATATAAAACCTTGATGCTGTTTTGCATGAAATATATGAGGTTTACTATCTGGTCCTGTTGGTCCAAATCCGGGAGCACTGATTTCTTATGTTTTAATGATATATATTATAAAAGCTGTAAGGGCAGCTTTGGTGGTTTACACCTAATCCTAGCACCCCAGAGGCAGTGTAGTTAGATCTCTGTGAATTCAGGGTGAGCCTGGTCTTCATAATAAAGTTCTAGGACAGCCGAGGATTCACAGAGAAACCCTGTCTCAAAAACATAAAAAATGAGCCTGAATCTTAGTTTTTTTAAATGGTAAAATGATTATCTGACAAATACAGTTACTAAGTTGGTTCTTACTGTCTAAGCTGGCTTGAAGAGGTGATTATATGCTTTATAAACAGCTAAGAAGCAAAGGTACACCTGGCCATTACCTTAATTCCCTTAGAAAAGAGTACCTTATTAAGTATTTTTCCTTCCTTCACACAAGTGATTCTGCTCTGTAGTGAAGTTGTTGATTGTTTTTTTCTTCTTGTCCTTATCTCTGACAAGTTGTTTGTAATGTCTTGATGACATGTTCAGTTACTCGGCAGTCTCCTCATATGTTGCTGCACTTTACAGCTAATATTGATCCAACACGGAGGTATCTTTACCTTCAGGTTTTGGGTGGAAAAGCTTTCTTGGAACATCTGCAAGAACCTGAGCCTTTGCCTGGACAAATTTGTTCAACTTTCACTTTATGTTTGCATTATCGGAACCAACGTTTTCGCTCAAAACCTGTACCCTGCGCTTGTGAGCCTGATTTCCATGACGGCTTTTTGCTTGAAGTTCACAGAGAAAGTTTAGGTAAGAGACAGTAGTGGTATCTAATTAAATGTGTTTGCTCTTCCTTGTAGACCGACTTCCACAACTTCAGTTAAAGAGAGACTGTAACCCCCGGTCTGGTGGCTCAGTTTTTAATCTCAGCCTCGGGACACTATAGGTCTGTCTTTGAGTCCCAGGCTAATCTGGTCTGTGTAGTGAGTCCTTGTGGGGGGTAGAGAGGTTGAGTATGGTAGATGAGTATCTCTAGTTTTTGTTTTGTTTGTTTGTTCCCCATGCTATCTTTTATTTAAATGAGCTCTTTTCTGCTTCCCCTTTATTCACTAATTTTTTTTTTTGTTTGTTTTTTGGTTTTTCGAGACAGGGTTTCTCTGTGTAGCCCTGGCTGTCCTGGAACTCACTCTGTAGACCAGGCTGGCCTCGAACTCAGAAATCCGCCTGCCTCTGCCTCCCAAGTGCTGGGATTAAAGGTGAGTGCCACCACTGCCCGGCTATTCACTAATTTTTTCTGACTC